TGACGGACCATGATGACAATGTGTTTAAACACATTGGGAAAACACTGGTCAATTGTTATTTAATCTATGAATGATTATGATGAAAGGAGACTAGGAAGAAGGATATTTGGTTCCCCTACCACTATGAATAGTTTTGGCAAAACTTTCTTCTTTATAACTTAATCAAAAACTGAAAATAACAACTTAAAATTTAAAATAGTAATTGTTTAATTGTACTAAAGTTCTTCTTGAGAGGCACAGGTGCATGAATCTGAAGTTTGCTCGTTTCCAATCATTTTTAGTCAACTGAAACAAGTTATTATATTTATGTATCTGCTAATATATTTATTTATCGCTATTTGTATTCCTCTATCTATTTATCAATCTCTGTCTCTACCGTTTCAACTGTATATTTATATGTTTATCTGTCTCTATCTATATCTGCTCATCAATGAATCTATTTCTTTAGGAATATAATAATATACCTAATAATATATAATAATCAATATAAAAATAGATAACTATTTATACACCATCTGTCAATCCGTCTATCTATTAAACTCTCTATAAATAGGTGAATAGATATATAATTTACCAAAATACACAATATCATGATGTATAATTTGGACATTCGTTCAGGATGTTTCAAACGGAAAAGAGAAATCTATCTTATTTTTGGAGAAAAGCGTCTGTAATACCAATCAATGATCTGTAATGATCAAGTAAAATACTTGGAAATTATTTTTGATGAAAATATCCCTTGATATGCTCACATAGATCAAGTAAAGGAAAATGAACATGCAACAGCTGTTTGAACCAGGGTTTTTATACAAATATATTCAAATAATAAATTGTCTTTATTGATAACCATACAGTTTACAATTTATTTTAGTAATTGCAGACAATACTTCAAGGTCATATGACCGTCAGAGGAGTTGCTATCTTTAACATAATAATAATAAAATAGTAATAATATATTACATTTTTAATCACTTATGGAACTAATATATTATTTTCATTCAAATATATAATTATATTCTCTATTTTTCGTGGTCCGCTTGACCAATTAATAACATTCAATTAATTAAGGTTTTAAGTGAGATAAAAAGTCAGTGTCATTGGATCCAATCCGATTACACGACATTTGAAAAATGGCAAATAGGAGGGAAAATTCAAAAGGTGGGGTTGAGATGGGAAGTTAGTGCCCGAGGGGATCGAAGTCACGATACCTCACGTGGTAGAGTAGCGGCGTATCAAGCCGAAGGTCGTGGGTTCGAATTCCGCTCGTGACACTGACTTTTTATCTTAACTTAAAGCCTCAATTAATTGAATATATAATTACAACTTAATCATCTTATAACCTAATTTATACAAGGCATAGAATAAAACAACCCATGTATTTGTTCCATATCGAACAATTTATTCAAATTAAATAATAATAAAATAATTTCTTCTGTGGAAAGTGACAAATATCTATCTTCTAATTGCCCATAGAATTAGAAAACTTCGAATAAAATAGATAACATATTTTTCTTCTTTCATGTTGCAGAGGGAATGCATATTTGAAATTACACTAAATGAATATTTATTTAGATATATAAGCTCACATCTGGCCTTGAATATCCAGCTGATTTGGTCTGTTCTTAAGGCAAATTATAGGTATTTCGTTTCTCATTAATTAAAAGATTTAAAATTATTTATTTACTGTACATATTTACAAGTTAGAAACAAGAGTACCAGTAATAATACTTTACCTCTCGACTTAAATAAATTGTATTATAACTTAAATGTTGAGAAAACTGGACTACAAAAACTTAATGCTCTAGATTATGTTGCTTATATAAACCTTGTAAACTCAATACCTTTTGTTTATAATAATTGGTTAATTACATTTTAATCTTTGTTATGATTAAGTGCAAGTATACATTCTGTACTAATTTCCTTTATTGCTTTTATCCCGAACTTATATTCCTATTTACTATTCTTTAAACCTTGGTAAGTCGATATTTACGCAGGTAGTTTATATATAACTTCATGGTATAAACAGAGGAAAGACATTTAATTCTAAAGATAACATGTGGTTGGGTGTATATGATGGTAAATTTAATATCCGTTTCATAAACATACTTTAGACTTGTTCTACCATCTCCAACTCCTGAAAACCCCAAACTTGCCCAACATAACACAAACTAGACCTGCAAACAGCGTCAAATTATTATTATAGTTATTTTTAATTCATATTTGTTTAGTGGTCATAATTGACCATACTAATTCTTCAAATTAATTATTTTTTCATCTAATGATTTTGGATGGGAAAAATTAGTGTCACGCGCGGGATTCGAACCCACGACTTTCGGCTCAATACGCCGCTGCTCTAACCACTTGAGCTGTCGTGACTTCGATCCCCTCGGACACCAACTTTCAATCTTATCCCCGGTTAGAGCAGCGGCGTATTCAGAAGGTCGTGGGTTCGAATCTCGTTCGTGACACTAATTTTTCATCTCAACCAAAAACCTTAGATGAAAAGAATAATTAATTGGAATTATTTTTTTTAGGCTAGTGAAATCGTGTTGTTCAACATTATGCCCTAACGAGATACTATCATAAATTTGCATTTAGATTTTTTATCTTTAAAATATTTATTTAATAATCCCCTTGAAGGAATTGTCAAGCCTAGATATTTATGGCTTTCCACTACTGTTATCCTTTTGTTTCCATACCGCCATTGCTCAGTATTTGCCGGTTTTCCTGCATTCTAAAAACAATTATTTTGGATTTGTGTAAATTCACGACTAAGTTACATTTTTTACAGTACCGTTCAAATAACTTTTTTTTTTTCGAGGGTTCGCAACAGCAGAGGTCATATATACCCTCAGGGTGCCGGTGTTATTGAAAAAAAGCCCATTTGTAAGTATGTCGGGTTCGAATGCGGGGCCGCTGGATTCGAACCCGGGACCTTTACCTTACATTGATGAACGCCGTGTCAACGCCTAAACCGTTGCGGCCACCGACGCCCCCATAACATATTCCTTATGATGTATGTTTTTTTATTTTTTAGACAGAAAGACAGATGGGAACAGAGCGGGTTAGGTGAAGTGAATTAGCTTAGCGGGAAGGGGTTACTTGTTGATCCTTCATCGCAGGAGCGCTCATTCCTCATCCGTGTCATCCTGAGCGATAATATTAGTTACAATGGTATTTCACGTGATCAGTAGTCTGATAAAGTATTCAGGAGTTTGCCTTTATTTAATTTTTTCCCCAACTCTCTCCGCTGGCGTGGATCCACCCCAATCTCTACTTCATCCCGGTTCACGTCCCCCTTTCACTGGATGTGGCAGAATTCAATTCAAAACTTTCCTCACTGCGCCTTCTTTATTTCATCTTCCCATCCCACTCTTAGGTCCTGAAGGGAGAACAAATCTAAAGATTTTTATCAGTGACAATTAGGTTGTGAAAAACATGGATAAATAATCGGTGAACGGCTCAATAGAAAAGCACTTCCCACACCATACTTATTCTTTTTAATTCTAACCATTTTTGACTACTCGGAAAAGATGTGAAAAAGAATCAATTATATTTTGTTTTTAATTAAAAATTTTCATTTATTAGCAAATAATAGTTAATAAACTTTAAGAATTGACTAAATATAGGAAATTTTAGCTCATATATATTACGAATTATTATTTTCTAAATGATATTTAAGGCCAAAAAACATTAATTCTTAGACAATTTATGTTAACAAAAATGTTTTTTATGTTTGATCGCATTCGTCAAACCCTTGCCATATTCCTTGGGTGCCACAAATTTAAGAGACCGACCACATTTCTGTTCGTGATTGATTTTCATAATGACACACTCATCTATTTCCGACAAGGATGGAGATGAAAAGTGGATTCTGTATGGCAATCTAGTTCTATAGCGACCGAATGGAAAATACAGATGACATCCATTGTCATTTTTTAACATAGACTTCGACCAATAAAAGTCACGATATGTATTTGGTGATATCTCTTAATATGTCATTCTCCCATGGAAACAATAATTAGTAATTATAATGTATTATATCTAACATTACCGCGATAAAAAAATCTTTAGTTGAGGGCATAGGCGACTGAGATCTGCATACTTGACGGGATATCAATAACTCAACAACCGTACTCACTTTCCAGCCTATCGTCTTTGAAATACCGGCATTCAGTCTATTAACTCAGACCGGTTAAATATAATCAAATAATAATAATAGTATTGTCTTCAGTAAAATTAATTGATATCACCGATTTACCCAGGATTCGTCCACGCGCGATTCGGTTTTAATGACCTTTCTAATTTGATGCAGTGCTAGGTATGGCTTCTAATACAATGTCTCGTTTCTCAAATTTTTCTCTTCTTCAGTTTACTTCGACCTAAGCATGATGAAAAATTTCTATATGATCCCCTTAGGGTTAAATTTCAAAAAATACTTTCTTAGCATATGTGTCATTACAGGAATGCGTTGTCTAAATTTAAGCCCTTTAGATCCAGTGGTTTGGTTTGTGCGCAGTCTGCCAGTCAATCATGGAATCTTTTATATATATAGATAGAAGATGGGGAAGGAATTTAAAAACTCCTTTCTTTGCGGCTTCCATGTCTTTATAGGAATGCACTGTCATAATTTTAGGCCTTTAGATCCAGCGATTTGGTCTGCCCGTTATCTGCCAGTCAGTCGTGGAACTGCTTAACATTTATATAGATTTACCAACTGACTTAGCACCTAAGTAAATGATTAAAAATGAAAAAGGAACTATTCTAAGTTCATTCATCACTATATATTAATTGCTGTTTATGAAAGTAATGCCCCGAGGAAGGCAGAACAAATGCCGAAAACTTGGCGGTAGTGGTATAATTTTCATTCTTGGACCATATCCCTGATCCCAAAACATCAATATTACATCTGGTCCATCATCACGCCTGACATTTATTTACACATTACAAATATTATATACTCGTTTATTACGTACAGTCGGGAAATCCAAAACGTCAATCAACGTGAAATCGAAATTTTCCGACTATTTCCATGGAAATACATCTCTCCTCAGAATTGTGATACTAAAATTAAATCTGCATTCTATCTGCATGACAATGAAAAGCTGGTGCTATTTTAATAATAAGCTCGATAAATCTCTAGGACGGCTTTTAATAATTTAGTTCGTGACTTAACCTATTCAAACCTGTGGTACGAAGGTTAGCATTTAGGTGAGTTTTAGTGTTGAAAATAAATGTTAATTTAATGTAGTGGTTTAGTTTTTCTCGAGAGGCAAAAATAGTCGATATTAAGCGGTTTGATAAAAATCACCTACACTTCCTTATAGGTGATTCGAATGAAGGTCCGTTATGACGAAAATCAATATGTTTGCCTAGACTGTATGTTGTCTTTATATATAAATTGACGTTTTACCTTTCAACGAATTGTAATTGAATATGTGCTGAACGTTTTTTCATCGAGGGTGACGTCTATTTTCGTCGCGTATAGGTGTTTGGATATAATCGCTGTTTGCTCCCCAACAAACGTCTTCCTGACTGAACAAACAAAATTGGTTTGTTTAGCTGGATCCTTCCCCCGTAGAATTTATGCTCGGGTACCATTTCATTTGGAAATGGTGAAAATAGAATAGCGATAATTGGAACAGTTAAGGGTAAGAGTTCTAAATATAACCCTAGTTTATTTATAGCATCCATCCGTACGTTTTACCTTCTTGCTGCTAGTCTAACTTAAAAGTAAAAACATGATTGAGTTGTTGATATTGTTATATGTATATATATTATGCAGGGTAGGCGACCAAGACCCGAGGGGTTAAATGCCTGGGTAGACTCGTACCCCATCCCTAACATACCTAAAAGGTCCGGGACTAGGTCGTACAGATCTTTCAGTTTCACATCATTCATGTTAAAAACATTAGAAAGACTGGTAGAGAACCACATTTGGGAGAAGAACAAACCTCTCAGTGAGCGACAATTCGCATACTAACCAGGGAGATACTCAGAGCTAACCCTGGATGATCTATGTAAATGCCTAACCAAGTCCATCAACGAGAAAGCTGTTATACATTTTATGGGTATAGAGGGAACTTTTAACAATGCAACCAAAGCCTCTCTATCAGAGGAGCAGCAATCAGGGGAGTCTCGGAAATGATATGCCAATGGGTGGAAGAACCGCCATGCAGATGTCATGATGGATCGTATACAACGAGCTCTCAACCTGGCTGACAGGTGGTACAAAAGGGACCATTAACCCCCCCCCCACAAACCATAATGATTCCATTCACAATAGGAAGCCTAAAAACTCTAAGCCTAAACGGGACCCCGATCCCATTTTCCAAAGTGGTCAAATATCTAGGGATCCCACTAGACCGGCGTCTGACATGTAATCCACATTTAACTAAAACTACTCAGGGAGCCAAAATTTCCTGCGGGAGGTGCCTGGTGGAACAATACCATAGGGCACTGTCATTTAAGAAACGTTCCTCTATGCACAGGATAGGAGCACATATAGAAGAAACACTGTGCAGATATGCCAGGAAGAGGAGGAGACCGCAGAACACATTTTATATTTCTTTGAAGGTCTATGTAGGTGCATGTTCTTGCAACTAGGACAGGAAAAATCACAAGCAAGATTCTACACTAAAGATCCGCTGGCAAAACTATGGAGGTTGATTAACAACCTCAAGCTGGGCAGTGATTTATAAAAAACTGGGGGGTCGAGGTGCAGAAGGCCTTGTAGCCGCCTCTTTTATTCTTATTCCCATTCTTCTGCCTCACTATAAATTTATTGTGCTGTTGGGGAACAAAATCTGAGACAATTGACGGAAGGAGGAATTGAAGTAAAGAGAAGGAATACACGCGGAGGGCCGGCGATGACCTCAGCTGTTTGTCGGCCCATAAACCTTCCACTTTATATATATAGGCATTGACCCACTGCTTTAGTAGGATTTATCTAATATATCATCTTTTAATTATACTTATTATATTTTGTTGCAAGGTTTTTAATATTTTTTATTTTGTTTTCAGGTAAGAAATTTATCATTGACCACATTCAATGGATTCAATGTTTTCTGCAATAGGTAAAAATGAAATATTTAAACGATTATTACGGCACATAATTATGAGACTAGTACAAAACATCACTTTGTATTTTTGTATTTTCATATACGATGACTAGCAATTGAACTATTAAACTTTCTCAATAATTACGAGTGTGGTAACGCCAAATGTGGATGTAGTAAATTTTAATCTCGAAAGTTGTTCCTGAAAATGTGAAAATTAAAGGTGTCTCCAGACATGCGGTATTCGGCGAAGCCGATTGCTGCCTAACATTTATCAAGTCTCGGGGTCTGACGCATTCGCCATATAGCATGCCTATGTAAACACAACCAACCAGTGTGTGCGGAAACTCCGAATACTTATTCGCCAAGTGCCATGGTATCAACTTATACCAATCGTGAAGAACCATATTGAAACTGTGATTGCTGCAGCTGTAGTTACTGTTTGGTGTAGTGGCTACAAACGCAGTCACAAATCAGTCACATAGTACTGTTGTCCCATCTTACTTTCGATACTTTTCCATTCATGGAAAAGCTCGTTCCGATTTTTGTGATTCGGAAGAGAAACGTTCCAAATTATTGGCTCAGCTTGGTAAAGATCGAGGAACTAACTCTAAGACTGTTATATTGAACTACACCATTCCTAACCGACAGAAACAGCGCTATGATTTACTTTCAGTAATATATCTATACTAGTAAGGAATCGTTTATTGTTGAAAAATAAATAGCAATGTTGATTGATGATTACAGTTGATATCCATACAGTTGAGACCCGAATGTGTGGATGCTTTGAGTTCGGCTATTTGGCGAATAGTTGTGCCCAAATAGCACAAGGAAAGCAACAATTAGCCGAGCATTCTGCTACAATATGGAGATGACAATGTCTGTTTACAACGAACAAGAATATAAATGTATAATCAAAGTTTCGGAGAGCTAAATTATAAAATTGTACAAATGGACTCTTCTAAATGGACTATCTATATCAAATACAAAATATAATAAATACCCATTTTAATTACAGACGAATATACATATCACTGCCTTGTGAAATTTAAGTGTTGGACAATCTACTTCAAAACTACCTTCACAATTTTCTACGCTGTGAAAAAAATTAGAGATGGACAAATTAAAAAAATTAAAAAATAAATAAAAAGACAACTTACGAATACTCTTTTCGATTATATATATTATATTCATATATTATACCGCCATAATCGCTAATAACTTACTTGTACTCCTAGACGTCACACACTAACCCCAGAATATGCGATATTCCTCGGGGTAGTTAAACAACCCCAAAAAGACCATAGTTCTGTAAGATCATTTCTGCAGTAGAACTTTGCAATATCTGTGAAAAATTATTTATTTACTATTTGTTATAATACAATATTTGCATTAGGTATTTCTTTATGTATATATATTTACTCAAGAGATCGTAATATTAAACAAATTTATAAATTATTTTCATTGTATGGGGGCAACATTAAGGGGCATAAAACGCAGCAATGAATATCAATGAAAGTTATAAAATGTTTAGAAAATAGTTGCATTTGTTTCTCAAGTTTCAATAATTTGGTCATTTGTATTCCTACTTATCGTTTTCTTCCCGTTCTATCATCCTCAAGATTTTTTTAAAGCCCAAGTGTTCAAGGAAGGGTATTCTCCTTGACTTAGCTTTTGTCCTAAGGTCACTCACACTACGGTCGTCAGCCTTGAAATCTTTCACCAATTTACTATGCCGAACGGGAAATTCCGCGTTAGACTTTTGCTAATTTTTTCTCCCTCTCTCTCCTACCATCTCCATTTCGATTAATGGCATAAGCCTTCCGCGCTAGTATCCATCATTCTGCCCGGTACAAAATTAGTTGTGACTTGGACTTTCTGCCATCGATATCCAAGAGGGCCACGACTTCCAACATCTGGTACTCTTTGGAAACTTTTGTCCCATCGAAAAAAAATCCCGATGTTTTTTTAAGAAATCGCCCTATCCTACAAATTGTCCTTTTTTATCTTTACGATATAAAATATTTAAATCGTTGTATAAAATAATTGAAAAATACTCATTTTTATAATATAACTGAGGCTAATTACCAATCTTTAACAATTTTTTTCTAATTCGTCAAACAAATAAATAATTTAACCTGAGGGTTTACCAAAAACCTAAATGATAAAATTATTTGTTCCATTAAAAGAAATGATGGTAATAGTACGTCATACGCCACGCAGAAACTGTTGCATAGAATATGCATAACATCTATGGATTAGATTGCAGATCAAAACTGCTTTAAATTCAAGTACATACCAAAACAAGAGGGGTGGGTTATGGGTAATCCAACATTAGTCACACACACAAATGTATTTTTACAGAACTATGAAGCAAAATACTTCCCAAAAATATGGTAAAACACAAACGTAGCCATAGTAAAAACAATTCAACAGACAAAAAAAAGATAGCAACCAGCATGCCAGAACGGATACACCACAAGCACGATCACCAAAATAATAAACAAAACGACACCACGAAAACAAACAGTAAAAGGATCACATTCACACACACTGGGAAATGTACATACAGATATACAGATACAAAAAGCATTTAAGAATCACCAAATAGAAAATCACTCCTAATAGAAACTCAACAGAACAGTATGTCAACGACGTACAAACAACAACGACGAAAAATGAATACACTCGAAAACCTGTAAATATACAAATACAAGACTTTTTCATCAAAAAAACCTCATAAGCACACAGATTTACCGTAATGACCGGAACAATAAAAACCCAAGACCTAATCCAAAAAGGCACCGCAAAAAAAATGCTGAAACACGTCTGACCGACCAAACAAGCGCGGATAGGAAGACGAAGGTGTTAGGTAAGGATCAAATGAGGTTATATTAAAAAAGGTTTATCATGTTGCAAACCAATGGAGAAATTCTCATAAAAACATAAATGATAAAATCATTTGTTATCAATTACTTTGTTGTGTTAAAATTATCTGCATATTACACATTTCGACCTACTCCTTGTTTTTGAATATATATATATTGTTGTTATTATATTATATTGCATATTGATCTGTATATTTAGGACAGAAAACTTACCTAATTTTGGCCGATAGTTTCTAGTATTTTTGGCAAGACTCACGGCTCAGTCTTTTCCGGCCTTTGTGCTAGTGATGATAAGTCAAGGATGTGTCCTTAACTTGATCCTTTAGGTGATTGTAGCACACCTTTTCTCTAATAGTTGGATATTTTACAGAACGATTCCTTTCCTGGTCTTGTGTTATCCTGAGTATAGATTTGCATCGTGGGAGGGCAAACGCCTAGTTAAATTTTAAAATATAAAATTAACAAATTATTATAAATTCATAAAAAGATTTGTCTATTAATTTACATTAAGATTAGAGAGACAGAGATATGTATAAAGCTAAAAAGTACTAATATTCTGAATATGAATATTCAGAAATCGTGAGATGCGGTCTGGTGTGATGTAGGTTTCAGAAAAACATTTTCTTTATCGTGACAATTTTTTTTTTTATTCAATCAAAGTGTTTCTACTCACTCAAAGTGTTTGTTTTCTGCGTAAAATAAAATATGAATTAAAAAAAATATATTTTATTGCATTATATAAATTCACTTTTTTCCACATCCTACATGTTTTTGTTAAATTTAAACAATGTTTGTAAATCCCTGGCCCTGAAGATGATCTCAATAAAGATCGAAACGTTGGCACGGTAAAGAAAATGGTTTTCTGAAACCTACATCACACCAGACCGCATCTCACGATTTCTGAATAATCATCTACTAACGGTCACTAATCACCACACATTCGTAGATCTACGTAGACGTAGATTAACATTGTAATAAATTAAAACATTAGTACGGTCAATGATTACTAAATACACATTTGATTATAAATGTTGTAAGATTTCTTTATTCATTCAATTAGAGTAATCCTTTTACCAATTTCTTTACTGTGTATTACTTATTAACGCACCTTTAAATACAGCCGATTTGAGGATTTAAATTATGTAAATAGCGGCAGAAATATTAGGTTGAAATTATCATTAAATATTAAAAGGTGGAAACCAATTATCGTGACAACATGGAACATGCTTTCAAAGTTGGAGTTGATTAGCTTTTCCAAATTATGCTGGTTTTATTTATTTGAAAAAATATATAAGGAACGAAGCTAATCAATGAAAATAAAATGTATAGTTTTTTCCAACTGCGCTATTTTTTAATTATGTGAAGATGTGTATATTTGTGTTTAAACTTGGCCTTCCGGGAGAAGTACGAAGAAATTTATTAATACAATATAATTCTCTTTAGTCCTATCACAATTGCTTTTTTTTTTAATTTAAGTATCATAAGATATTCTAAGTGTTACTTATTAGTTCGAATATATTTATTAGCTTAAGTGGAGGGGATCGATCATCTCCCAATTACCTCATGAATGAATGTGTGAATGTAATTTATTAGCGTGAATGACAGGGTTTATCCTCAATCCGAGGAATATCGAGTACTCTGAGGTAGAGTGAATTTTATTTGTTAGTGTGACTGTAGGGGCTTATCACCAATTACCTCAAGGAATATCGAATACTTCGAACCCGACATACAAATGGGCTTTTTTGCGAACCATCGTAAAATCTATATCTTTTTATCTCAACTAAAAACCTTAATTAATTGAAAGATATTAATTGGTCAAGCGTACCAAGAAAGCTAGTGAAATAAGTAATATATATATANATATATAAATGCTAGGTAAAAAAAATCTTCTGTTGAATAATAACACATACAACATAAATAGAAAACGAGTACACAAAAATTATGTAAATTGTTTAATTTTTTCTCAGCCCCTAGGGCCAAAGGGAAGTACGCTTGGACACGTGTCCAATATTTTTCGACGTAGTATGACCAAAAAAGGTTAATTGAAATCGGAGATCCCATGTCCGTTGCCTCCCCTTATAATTGCGGATTGAAAATGAGCTTCTGATCAACAAAGAACCTTCTTATAACGGAAAGATCATAGAAACACTTTGTGCGATGAAAATGTAATACACCCTGGCTATAAATAAAGTGGCCCTTTCATATTCCCAACATGTCAGAAATCAAAGAAAAAGAAAACATAACCCATTGAAGCAACCCAGTATTACAAAGAGCGGACGTTGAAAGTAGAGGTGAAATTGGTGTTTTTCGTACAAAAATAGCCGAACGTTATTTCCACCATCTCCAACATTCCCACCTCTCCCATTCTTTATTATTTCTTGTTTACATCGGTGCCACGGCCGTACGTTTTTGTCCCGGAAAATTCGGAAGGGCGTACTCTCCCCTTTAATAACTTGATGGAAATTAAATAAAAATTCAATTTCCATTGCCAAAACGAACCAGAAGGACACAACGACTAGAAGCCATTAGGCCTAAAAAGGTTATTATAGACCGCTATTGTAAATTCCTTATTACTTTATTCTACCTTTCCAGGATGTATTAAATTTAATGTAATTTAAACTTCACCCTATTTAAACATCTAGGGTCAGATGATCATCTTTTAAAGATGACATACATAAAAATGTTCAATTTGTTGAATCACAATTGAAATAGACAGACACATGGACAAGTGATAAAATTTTCATCCCGCGTGATATGATTGGTTCTTCTGATGGTGATACATCAAATCTAAAATATGACTTTTAAATCTGATGTTTTAAATAAGTGAAAATGTTAATGTACCCATCGAAAACTCGCAATAAAAGGAAAGAATTTAGGCCAATATTAATTAATTAAGCCGAGAGATAACATTTATCTTTTTTTTGTAAGGGGGGAGAGAGAGAGAGAGAGAGAGAGAGAGAGAGAGAGAGAGAGAGAGAGAGAGAGAGAGAGAGAGANGAGAACCATAAATGACGTAAAATTCTCAAAAAATGTATGTCTAAGAGTTATTTGTTGAATTTGCCTTCCCTATGTTTTTTGGGAGTGTTTAGATGGCGAAAGATTTTCTTTTGAGTTTTCTTTTTGAATCTTGGGTAAGGGTTTGTTCAGCAAACGAACGTTCCTCACTGAAGGTGGCGTATGAATGAAATCTAAACCCGTAAGAAGTAGTATAGATC